TTTCTTATACACGCCACCTTTCTTATACATATGAAGTTGTTGTAGTCCAAAACTACACCCCATTTTATTCCCTTAGGATAGATTAGGATATTATATTTTATCCCCATTTTATCCACCTACGTTCTAAAAGGAACCCCTGAGAGTCCTAGCACTTGTAGTTTCTGAAACTGAGATTTCGTGATGAGTGAGTGAGTCAGTCACCTTTCGCTTTTATAGATTTAGTTTTACATATTTTTCGTTTAGGTTTTTTTTTTTCATTTGGGCATTTTGAATTTCAGAGAGAGCGCGGCGCTATCGGTTTACGCGTTGCTCTCTCCTACGTGATTTAGAATTTTAATTGTTAAAAGATTTTAGGTTGCTAACTATGTTTTCGATGTGGGTGGTAAATGTTGTTATGGAATCTTGCTTGGTTATAATTTGTTGGAAATTGAATGGGTCGATGTTGTAAATTTGGCAAACTATATTGTGGCTTAGTCTTGTTGATTGAAATCTTGGGCAGTCCTGAACGAGATGCAACATTGATTGGGTGGTTATATTATCACAGGGACATGTGTCATTGTCAGTAATCTTGAATCTGTTTGGGTATTATTTTTTTTTACGTGGAAGGAAATTAATGCGACCTTTGCGTCACGCCATCACAGATCTATATCGCTTCTAGCTTCGTAAAATCTTCTAAAAATATAATTTGAATGCATCCTCTGTGGTGTACTAATCTGTGGCGCGGCCTCGGAAGGGCGTCCCTGCAGGGCGGGGCAGGCAACCTTCGCGATGGCCCTACTAACCTAAACACACTAACCTTAGTGTTGCCGAATCGACGACTGTTGCCAACCGAACTGCTGGCCCGTTTGACATTTCGACAACAACGATCGATTTTCATCGATATTTAAAAAAAAATGTTTGTTTTCAAGTTGAAAAACAAATACAAAGGTCCGGTTTCTGAATTTAGATTTTAGATATGAATTTAATAATTATAAATGATCACACTTGAGCAGTTAAGGACTCTTTATATTTTTAGTAAGTTGTTTATTAATTATGGGATGTGTAAATTGTAAGAATATGTATATTTCTTCTATAAAACGGTGTAGTCCTGAAATAATAGGTGGACTAAGGAGCTTAGTGCTTACTAAAGCCTGTAATCTTCAATCGATATATTCTACACCTTAACTTACACCACTACTTAGCCCTGCACATAAACACTAAAAGTGACCATTGAAGCCAAAGAGCTCGTTTACATAGAGCTGCCCAAACATTTAATTACTCAACGTCTTTTCTAAAGTTTTTTATTACTTCGGTGTAATGGGAAGCCAAAAAATTTCCAATTAAGTATTCATTTTTCCTTAAACTGTACGAAGTTTTATCGAAGCTTAACGTGAATTTAGGTAATTTATAGCAAGTCCAAAAAATTAATGACGTATTACATAATTTTAAGGAATTTGAATATTAGGTAAGTAGTATGTACTTACCTAATATTCAATTTCAAGTTAGTAGGCAATAAAGAATGGGCTGAGTGATCACATTATCAAATAATTGATTTGCTATAACGAAATTGGAAGTGTTAGGCTGGATTGCTCCATCTTACTTTAACTTGAACAATAGTAAAAAATCTGTCAAACTCTATACAAAAACACCGGTTAACGTCAAAGTGACGGTCAAGGTTAGAAGGTGCAACTCACACTAAAATAACACAATCGATGAACAACTGGTTAAATTGATAAAAAAATGACGTGATAAACGTCATAACTATTAGGATACCTACATGCGAGTATCTAACGCAAATATATGTGTTAGTTTTTCAAAGATTTCTGTGGTGTAATGTAATGTAATGCAACGATTATAATTACAAGGGATTTCGAAGGTATATTATGCAATTAATTTAGTCAAGGCCCTCTAAAAGTAAAATCACGCCCAGTCACACCTTAGCACGCAGTAGCAACCTTGTGTTTTGTACGCACGTGGAGCGTATTCGTTTAATTGCCGTATAAATTATATGGTCTGAGTGTTGAATATTTTGTTGGGGCACTGGACAGTTTTTAATAAACAACAAACGCTTATTTCACATAGCTTTTGTTTAGTTTATTAAGTTGTAAAGAAAGAAAGAAAGAAATATTTATTACGATGAACATCACTTAGAGAACAAAGAAAGTATACGGAAACAAGTNCTTATACTAAACTTATTTTTGCCTGCGTGGTGTAATGGGCGGCGAGTCGGACTCGATATTTTGAGTTAATTGTATGTAATAAAATGAAAATGAGCTTTTGTGTACTAATTTCGCTTGATTAGGATGTTGAGACGAGGAAAATCGATATTATGCTTCGGTGGCAATTTAAGCTTGGCGCATAAAGGCTTAAAAGTCCGTTTTGACCATCAATTCCTAATTTTTAAGTGACCCCTAAGGCAACACTTAACAGGAATTTTGTTTCCATAGAGGTCACTTAAAAATTAGGGATTGATGGTGAAAACGGGCATAACTACTTAATTATTTCAGCCACATAGTCATCGTCATAGTCATTTATTTCATATTTATTCCATAACTAGCTTTCCGGCCGCGGCTTCGCCCGCGTGGAATTTTGTCTGTCACAGAAAAACAATATCGCGCGCGTATTTGCTCACCGTTTAGACCTACCCTGGAATACGACAAACATTTTAAAACCAAAGTCAGCTCAATCGGCCCAGCCGTTCTCGAGTTTTAATCAGACTAACGAACATCAATTCATTTTTATTTATATAGAAGATAGATTTTAGGACATGATTTTCATGAGGTATTTATATGCAATTTTTATTTTACTCACATCTATTTTTACCGCGTGTTTTCATTCAGCAGTCGCCTAAAATATTAACGGTGTCGCTAAACCGATCGGAAATAAACTAAACATTTGTTTTGGCACGTGAGTGATTGATTGGCAGCGGTGACAGAACGAGGTTTGGGGGGAGCCACAGAGCAGATGCGTTACGCAGCTGATAATAGTATTCCAATATTACTATTTCACATATTATTTAAAATAGCTGTGCCTGCGTGTGACGGACCAGTGTGCTTACGAGTACCATAAGTTTACGTTACGTGTGCTCGCTAGCGATTGCGTAAAAATGTCATTAAATGTATGACAGATTGTACATCGCCCCTACTTTCAAGAACTAAAATCTTCATAGATTTTTTTGACGTACTCGCACACCTAACGTAAACTCATGGTCAGCACACAGAAAGCGCACAATTGCAGATGTTTTCGAATCTGGTTTATTTGCTTCCGTTGGATCTTTTGGGTCAGGTTCAGGTCCTGCTTTATCCTCATTTGATGATTTATCGTCTCTACCAGTATATACCTAAACGCAAATACCATAAATAACCAGTTTTAGAGTTATACAATTACAACATTGGGAGGTCTACACCGGCGGCTTTGTTTGAAATTTTTTGCCTGCCCTTCCAGCAATAAGGATTCGTCAGACTGGCTTGATTTTTGCGCCTGATGTAAATATTTGTTTTTTTTCCAGTTTTTTCCTTTTGGAAGTCGCTCAAAGGGAAACAAAATATAATTTTCACTGCCACCCTATGAACAAATTTTTTTCTTTATTCCTATATTCTGATCGGTTGAACTTGTTAATATATCATCATAGAACTATATCGCTTCTAGCTTCGTAAAAGCTTCTAAAAATTTAAATTACATGCATCCTCTGTGGTGTACTAATCTGTGGCGCGGCCTCGGAAGGGCGTCCCTGCAGGGCGGGGCAGGCAACCTTCGCGATGGCCCTACTAACCTAAACACACTAACCTTAGTGTTGCCGAATCGACGACTGTTGCCAACCGAAATACTGGCTCGTTTGACATTTCGACAACAACGATCGATTTTCATCGATACTTAAAAAAAATCAAATTAAAAATATCTAAAAAATTCAAAATGAAAAACAAATGTTTAGGCCCGGTTTCTGAGTTGAGATTTTTAGCTAGACTAAAGCGTACCTACCTACTCATTATCTACTTAATTATGAACTTAATATGGAAAGTTCACACTTAAGTAGAAAAGCAGCCTTATAAGTATTACTAGCGGCCGCCCGCGACTTCGTACGCGTGGACCTCGTTTTACTCCATTAGAGGTGGAGTTACGTAAAATCCGCTCTTAGCATCTATAGCGCATACATTTTAAATTTTAACTCTTTTACTTTAAACACATAGGACTTTCATAATATAAACTTCCAACCCTCCTTTTATCTCCTTAGCCCCCGTAGTTGATTTCTAATGATACATTTTCAGTATATGTACCACCACCACCACCACCACCACCATTTCAGCCACAGGACGTCCACTGCTGAACATAGGCCTCCCCCAATGCTTTCCATGTTGATCGATTGGAAGCGGCCTGCGTCCAGCGCTTCCCTGCTACCTTTACGATGTCGTCGGTCCACCTTGTAGGTGGAAGTCCCACGCTACGTTTTCCGGTACGCGGCCTCCATTCCAGAACTATTCTGCCCCATCGGCCATCAGTTCTGCGTACTATGTGCCCTGCCCATTAGATGATATTTGCCAGTAAATTTAGATTTGATGCAACCCTATATCAATGCACGTCAAAACAAAATATTTACTTTGAGGCTACGCTTAGTAGTTTTTTTTTAAATCGAAATTAAATGATGCGATTTGGGTATTTTGGTGAAATTACTAAAAAGCTTGATATAAAAGTAGCCGCCTGACATGGAACGTGTTATGGGGGCTGAAAATATAGGAAATGACCCATTCTATCCGCCAAATCATTTTGGCACACGATGCGCCAAACACCCTGTATTTAATGTTCTTTCCAATTAGACATACCTATTGAGTAAGATGTCAGTCATCCGTTTGTAGATTCAGTCAAGTTATCCGTTTAAAGATTACATAGGCAGTGTCATTTTTGAAATATTTTATTCAAGTTTAAGTACTAGGAGGGTAGACATTCTATGACAGAAATGTGGGATGTAATAATTTGAATGTTCTAAAGTGCAGTGTCTAAAATAAGTACTATTATGTTAACAGGAGAGCGACCTCCTCCGCCGTGCCGAAGTCATGCTGCAACAAGCCGCCAAACTCCGCTGCCGGGCCTTCGTGGCGCCGGCCGACGTGGTGGGCGGCGTGTACAAGCTCAACCTGGCCTTCGTGGCCAACCTGTTCAACCAGCACCCCGGCCTGCAGCGCCAGGCCGACACCCAGGAGTACCACCAGCTGGACGAGACCAGGGAGGAGAAGAGTGAGTAGTATACCTTTGTCAGATCATGAGGAGAATAGTGAATAGTCTACAGGTCCTTGGCACATCCTAAAGGTGCCTGCATATCATGCGGAGAAGAGTGAATAGTCTACAGGACCTTGGCACATCCTAAAGGTGCCTGCTTCGTAAAGATAAAGGCTGATACCGAGGAGTACCACCAGCTGGACGAGACCAGGGAGGAGAAGAGTGAGTATCTTGGCCAGATCCTGAAGGTGCCTGCTTGACGAGACCAAGGAAGGGTGCTGGTATGCTTGCGCGAAAGGCAATTGCGCAGTCACAAGCGCGAAAAGCCATATGCGTGCACAGACTTGCGTGATAAGACGCTTGCGCGAAAAGACGCTTGCGCGAGAAAACGCTTGCGCAAAAGACACTTGGAAAATCTTTCGCGCAAGTGTCCTTATAAGCTAGAACAAGAGTAAGTACATTGGTCGCGTCGAAAAGAAGGATCCATCCACTGGATACACATTTAGCGCGTTCGTGACGTCAGCTACTGTTGTGGGATAGGTCTACAAGCTCAAAAGAAGAGTGAGTAGACCATAGTATCTTAGCTTCGTCGTGAAACTTAGTAAACCACCAGTCGCTGGAGATACTTTTCGCGTTTGTGACGTCAGCTGACGTGATGGGCGGAGTCTACAAGCTCAAAAGAAGAGTGAGTAGCCCATAGTATCTCGGCCACATTTGAAAAGCCCTTGCTTCGTCGTGATACTCCAACAAGCCGCTAAACTCCGCTGCCGGGCCTTCGTGGCGCCGGCCGACGTGGTGGGCGCCGTGTACAAGCTCAACCTGGCCTTCGTGGCCAACCTGTTCAACCAGCACCCCGGCCTGCAGCGCCAGGCCGACACCCAGGAGTACCACCAGCTGGACGAGACCAGGGAGGAGAAGAGTGAGTAGTATACCTTTGTCAGATCATGAGGAGAAGAGTGAATAGCTTATAAGACCTTGGCACATCCTAAAGGTGCCTGCATATCATGCGGAGAAGAGTGAATAGCTTATAAGACCTTGGCACATCCTGAAGGTGCCTGCATATCATGCGGAGAAGAGTGAATAGTCTACAGGACCTTGGCACATCCTAAAGGTGCCTGGTTTCTTAAGCAAATTCCTGCTTGATGAGACCAAGGAAGGGTTCTGGTATGCTTGCGCGAAAGGCAATTGCGCAAAGTCACAAGCGCGAAAAGCTATATCCGCGCCCAGACACTTGCGTGATAAGACGCTTGCGCAATAAGACGCTTGCGCGATAAGACTTGCTCTATAAGACGCTTGCGCTATAAGACGCTTGCTTGATAAGACGATTGAGCGATAAGACGCTTGCGCTATAAGACACTTGCGCAATAAGACGCTTGCGCGATAAAACGCTTGCGCAATAAGACGCTTGCGCTATAAGACACTTGGAAAATCTTTCGCGCAAGTGTTCTTATACGCTAGAACAAGAGTAAGTTCTTTGGTCGCATTAAAAAGAAGGAAATCAGACAGCACCAGTCACTAGAGATACTTTTCGCATTTGTGACGTCAGCTGCCGTGGTGGGCGGAGTCTACAAGCTCAACAGAAGAGTGAGTAGTCTATAGTGTCTCAGCTACATTTGAAAAGACCTTACTTTGTCGTGAAACTTAGGAAACCACCAGTCGCTGGAGATTACTATTTGCGCGTTCGTGACGTCAGCTACTTTTGTGGGCGGGGTCTACAAGCTCAAAAGAAGAGTGAGTAGCCCATAGTATCTCGGCCACATTTGAAAAGCCCTTGCTTTGTCGTGATACTCCTACAAGCCGCCAAACTCCGCTGCCGGGCCTTCGTGGCGCCGGCCGACGTGGTGGGCGGCGTGTACAAGCTCAACCTGGCCTTCGTGGCCAACCTGTTCAACCAGCACCCCGGCCTGCAGCGCCAGGCCGACACCCAGGAGTACCACCAGCTGGACGAGACCAGGGAGGAGAAGAGTGAGTATACCTTTGTCAGATCATGAGGAGAAGAGTGAATAGTCTATAGATCCTTGGCACAGCCTAAAGATGCCTGCTTCGTTAAGCGAATTCTTGGTCTCGCCAAGGAGGGGTTCTGGTACACTTGCACGAAGTCCCATGCGCGAAAAGTCATTTGCGCGCACAGAAAGCTGCGCGAAAAGACGCTTAAAGGCGAAATACACTCTGCAAATGTTAAGGCTTGCAGCGCCAGACTTATACCGAGGAGTGTACCATCAGCTGGACGAGACCAGGGAGGAGAAGAGTAAGTCCTTATCTTAGTCACTTGTCCTACTGCCGACGATGATGGACTAGACACAGGACCTCAAAGGCGCCTTCTTCTTCCGGATTCCTGCTCGACAAGACCAGAGATTAAATCGGACAGCACCAGTTACTAGCAGTGCCATTCGATGGGAGACCCTGGTTAGATCCTAACGGTGCCTGTTTCACGCTAAGCTGATGCTGTAATAAGCCGTCAAGCTGGACGTGGCTGGACTGAACAGGACGAATCCCGCCCTGCTTGGGATTTGACTGTTGTCAAATCTCCTCACGTAAAGCTTCTCTGAATGAACATAACATGAAACTACAACAACACTTCTGGCGAGAAATGTTTCTCAAGAAGTCCGCATAAGGCCTCAGAAAAGTGCCACATTTTAACTGAAAGAAGCAGAAAATTATCATCATCGTTCAACTGTTCATCATATTCTCGTTTACATACTTGACACTGGTTAAATGTGCAAACCGCATGAAGCAAAAGAAATAATAAAAACAGCAACAAAAGCTTTGAAACTTTTTCGATTGTAAAATAGCGTCTCATATTTCTTTTGAAGTCCCCTGATTGTTTTGTTCAAGGCATTGCCTCCCTTAGCGCTATAAAAATAAGGCCCATTTTCCAGCGTACCGCAACTAGACGAATTCAACAGTAACTTTATTTAACGCAAAACAGTCTGTAACTCCTAAACAATAAGGTCTATTTTGCAGCGTACCGCAACTGGATGAACTCGATGGGCGTGGCGCCGCACGTCAACTGGCTGTACTCGGACCTGACGGACGGGCTCGTCATCTTCCAGCTCTACGACATCATCAAGCCTGGCATCGTCGACTGGAAGAAGGTACAGTACTTCTACATCTACAGTTCTATACTAATATTATGGAAAAATTCTTTTACTATTAGAATCTTCATTATTCCTGATGAACATAAATCATACAATATTGTCAAAAAAAATTAAGGAACTGTATGAGAATTTCGATAATGTAATGTTTAATTTAAGTAATTTTGTTTTCAATTGTTTTGTAATTTATTCGAGTTTTAGTAAGTTTACATCGATGAATTGTTAGTCAACTGAGTCCACCATTCCATACGCTCTCACGTTTTTCTATAGCACCCAAAGGAACTGTAAAAACATTAGTCATCTGAAATTATTTTTTGATTTGATCAGGGATAATAAGTAATAGCCCAGAAAATGTAAAACAAAACAGAAATGGACAGTGCGATTTTTAGGGATTCTTTGCGAAATGTCACATTTAAATACTTCCCAAAACTTGTGCTCCTTCTCAGCACTGGTCCATTTATTGTCCCGATGTAGTGTTAGGGTTAAAACTGGAACGTGCAAAAGTGCTGTTCAAAAGCCTACTTGTAAAAATAAATTAATGAGTTTTTCAGTTCGTTTTTTTAAACATTTTATGTCAATTGATTGGTCTGTTAACGTCCCTCCACAGGTGCACCGACAGTTCTCCAAGCTTCGCAAGTTCATGGAGCGCCTTGAGAATTGCAACTACGCGGTCGAGCTCGGCCGCCGCCTCGGCTTCTCGCTCGTCGGCATCGCCGGCGCAGACATCAACGAGGGCAACGCCACGCTCACGCTCGGTAAGCTATGGGCGTTATTCGTTATCACGGGTTATTAAACGAGTGATCAGCCTGACCAGTGATCACTCGTTATCCAGAAACGCCTAAACTAGTTTTTTTTCTTAACGTCATACAACGTTAGAATCTCTTCGTTATTCAACACACAACGCTCTAAAGCTAAACTGAATTCACACTTAAACAAACAACATAAGGTAGATGTTTGGTTGACATAAAAAATAACGTGTTTCCCGCTTCGTTACGACAGATTTGAGGACAACGTCGTACATTGACGATTCTTAAACATATTTTTTGTAACCTAAAGGAGTAAAGCGAGTAATGTATGGTGTCCAATTAATAAGGATCGCAACGAAATAGGTGCGTGTGCGAGTGAGAAAGCCATAGGACGTTAACATAAGTGTGGATGAAATAGGCATAATGTTCGTCGCAGGTTAGATATTCAATTGAATTTGAGTCTTATTTTGAAGGTCATAAGTTCCTAAATGTCTTGCAGCTAACCAAACACCTAACGTTATAATTATCACGCTTGCTTGAGAGTTGTGGAAATAACTTCGTTTAAAAAAACTAGTTTTGAAAACGTTATTCGTGATTCGAAAACCGTCGCGTTCAGTTATTTCAAAAACCCATAACGACACATCATTACTCGGTAACACACGCTCACACCTAGCGCACACGCTCGTGACGTCACGCCACGTCACAACTACGCCGTGGTAACACATGCCACGCTCACAGCTATGTCACGACAGGCTGACGCTTACTGCCCCCCTAGACAAAACGCACTTTTTGATCGAATCAAAAATCGAATCCGTCAAAACTCCATACAAAAAATGGGCTTTTCGACCACTTTTCGACTGGTTTGCGATTATAATTTGCACTTTGTCTAGACCCACTGATGTCACGTGTACCACGTTTGTGACACCATAGTAGCACTTATATGGCGCCACGTTTACGCCTAATGAACCTACGCTCACACTTAATACACCATAGAATGCCGCACCTGCATGGTTATTATTATGATCTATAACTGATTGTAAATTTTACACAACGCTATTCTTTTCATTATTACGGCTAACTTCTAATAAAGAACATTGTAATGATTGATGCTTCATTAATCGAGTGTTTTTTCTTGTAACTTTCAAAATTTTTTCGTCCAAGAGTCTTCGCTAAACGCTAAATTCGAGCGGGCATTCCGCACGCGTATCGAAAAATGTGCGGTGCGGACGCGTGCGACGGGTTTCCACAAGCGTTTCATGCATTTCCGTACATTATCATTATTTTTATTATTATTCCGGACATAGAAACCTGTCTAGGTCCTTAGAGTTTGTGTGTTCCCTTGCCAGCTTTGATTTGGCTGATGCGCTGTGTTTAAACTCTCAATCTTTCCCCTGCTGATAATTAGTCATTTCATCCACTTTTTCATCTAGTAAAATATGTTCTTCTCTCCAGCGCTGATCTGGCAGCTTATGCATGCGCAAACGCCAGTAAATCAAGTGGAAATTCCACCCATTATATTATCTAAATATGTATAAATAAATAAATATCTTTGGACATTTTACACTGCGCCTCTAGTCCCAAACTAAGCAAAGCTTGTACTATGGGTACTAGACGACGGGATAAACATACTTATACAGGGTGTAACGGGGGGATCATCGTAAGTCAAACGAAGGGGGACTACAATACCTATCGATATAACCCCCATGTATGTTCCGCGATTTTCAATGGTTCCATAGTTATTGACATTTTTGTGAAATTTAAGTAAAAAGCCGGAATTCAGTATTAAAGTCTTCACTGTAGCTTAACTACTGGACCTGCTTGCATGATTTTTAACAACTTTGAATTATCTCTAACAACTTTCAAGGCCTCTAGTGAAAAAAAGTACTTGAATTTTTCAAACAAAGAAAATTTGACATAATTTTTTTAATTCTTTTTCTACGAATCGGTATCGTGATTATTAAGACCTACTATTGAACTACTTCTAGAAAAAAAATCATGCAAGCAGGTCCAGTAGTTAAGCTACAGTGAAGACTTTTATACTGAATTCCGGCTTTTTACTTAAACACAAAAATCTCAATAACTTTGGAACCATTGAAAATCGCGGAACATACATGGGGGTTATATCGATAGGTATTGAAGTCCCCCATCGTTTGACTTACGATGATCCACCCCCCTTGTTACACCCTGTATACTTTTTTTTTGTAAATACATACATAATACATAGAAAACACCCAGACCCGTCACAGAAATTAAAATTCATCATTTCAATTTCTGCCCGGCCGGGAATCGAACCCGGGACCTCTCGGCATAGTAGTCCGTTCTGAACCATTACACCAAACGGCCGACGTTTCTTATTAAGTAATCTTCTCTTAGTTATTTAATTTTTAGCGTTAAGAGTCGCATCTCAATCGCCCGGCAAGCGGAAGGTCGTGGGTTCAATTCCCGCCTTAGGCAGTTCGATTTTTTCAAGTTATTTATAATTTTCAAATTAATCTTCTCTTCTCTTCCGCAGCGCTGATCTGGCAGCTGATGCGAGCCTACACACTATCTGTGCTGACGCGGCTGGCCAACACCGGCAGCCCTATCATTGAGCGCGAGATCGTGGCTTGGGTCAACGCCAAACTGCAGGCGGCTGGCAAGGCCTCCTCCATCAGAAGCTTCCAGGTAACCCACCGTCATAACACTACGACGTCACACCGTGCTACGACGCGGCATTGTTACACGTTGCGACGTGGCCTGGGTCAACGCCAAGCTGCAGGCGGCTGGCAAGGCCTCCTCCATCAGAAGCTTCCAGGTAACCCACCGTCATAACACTACGACGTCACACCGTGCTACGACGCGGCATTGTTCCACGTTGCGACGTGGCCTGGGTCAACGCCAAGCTGCAGGCGGCTGGCAAGGCCTCCTCCATCAGAAGCTTCCAGGTAACCCACCGTCATAACACTACGACGTCACACCGTGCTACGACGCGGCAGTGTTACACGCTGCGACGTGGCCTGGGTCAACGCCAAGCTGCAGGCGGCTGGCAAGGCCTCCTCCATCAAAAGCTTCCAGGTAACCTACCGTCATAACACTACGACGTCACACTGTGCTACGACGTGGCACTGTCCAAACGATCCTCTCCAAAGCCGAGAGGTGACGAGAGGAAATGTGTTTGATATTTATTCTGCGCTTTGGTGAAAACCGGGCCAAGGACCTACCACAAGGACTTCGACCGACTGGTCCTACGGTGCTCGTCTCGTTGGTCTAACATGTGAGAGGCCTTCCAATATTGCGTTTTCCGCTCCGTGGACCAGTGTGCTTACCATGAGTTTACGTTAGGTGTGCTCGCTAGCGAGTACGTCAAAAAAATCTATGAAGATTTGAGTTCTTGAAAGTAGCCGCTAGAGGCGCTGCACAATCTGTCATACATTTAATGTCATTTTTTTAAGCAGTCGCTAGCGAGCACACCTAACGTAAACTCATGGTAAGCACACAGAGGTGGAATTGTGTAACTGTAAAGCAATCGTAATCATTTGACAGTTATGTACGATAAAGTCAGATATAAAAAAAGCGTTTGACAGAATAATCAAATGAACTGTCAAATGATTACGATTGCTTTACACAATTCCACCTCAGATCACTCATTTTACATGTATAATTAAGAACCTAGAAATAAGTGTTTAATTTGGTGTGCTCATGTGCACCGTTGTGACTAAAGGCAAACCGCGAAACCCAAGAAAAAAATACGATGTGCTAATGATGTTCAAGACAATTCACAAATGAAAAGGTTTTATATCAAACAAGTAACCAATGGTTTATTGTTTCCAGGACGAGGTGCTGGCTGACGGTAAAGTGGTGATCGACTTGCTTGACGCCATCAAGCCCGGTGCCATTAATTATGACCTTGTGCTGCCCGGCGCCAACGAAGAGGTATGAGCTTAAACTACCGCCTGTCTCAGACTCAGAGATCCTGGGTTTAATTCCCAGGAGGGGCACAATTTTATGCCAAGTTTAGTCGGTGATGGGACTTGTTCTAAGTCCCTCTAGATCAGTGGTTCTTAACCTTTAAGTCACGAGGGACCATTTTACCAAATTTCTGTCTTGTCAGGGACCACTTTTTTTTTCAAAATCCTATGAAAATGGTAGGACGATTTCTCGCCCACTGTGCGCCGTTTGCGTTGTGTTGACTCGACTCATCACGTCACGTCACTTGTTTATTACGATGTCTCCGCGGACTACCGGTTAAGAACCACTGCTCTAGATAGGTAGTTACCACCATTTTATTTTTAGGAAATGCATTGAATTCTAACACCGTCTTACCTGAGTCTGGTATCGATTATGGATCATGTCTACTTTCATCTATTCGCACTGACTTCGTATATTATACTCACTAATGACTAATGAGTGTGTAGGTAGTGGACAGTGGTATATGTTAAATTAGCAAAAAAATCAACACCTTCTTACTGATAATGAATGCTCTTGCGGGATAGTGCACGATAGATAGACTCCGTTTTAGTTCAGTATGTGTATTGCCGTATGCTATTTGGAGCGAAGCTTGTAGTAAATTGAATACATTATGTAGTTTGTTGCCCTACAGAATAATTAATTATACAGTGTAAGTCACGATAAAGTGTACATATGAATTAAGGTAAAACTAGACCTATTTTATCGACAAAAAAGAGGTCAAAAAATTTTTGAGATTTTTTTAAATTTTTTATAGTTTTTTTTTTCTTTCAATTACTTATTGTAAAGAAAACGTAATAACTTTTACTAACTAAACTAAGCTGTATATCCTGATAAAATAAAAACAGTAATAATGCTACATAACAGGCGATACTAAAAAAATACATGAAATACCCAGAAAATGCCAACAAATAATAAAAAATGATACTTTTTGAAAAAAATCTGCTTAAAAATTATTGGTTATTTGATAAATTTTTCGGTTACGTATTTTTTTGGTTATTTGATAAATTTTTCCAAAAAATGCCCCTATAACAGGTAGTTTTTATTACTTTTTATTATTCTCTATCGTATTACTTTTGTAAAACCAAAAATAGCATGTCTCTCTATCACAACGTTTGCAATGATGTTTGCGACCATGTCGTCTCCCCAGAGCAATTTAGAGGAACACGAGTTTTTCACCGTTCAAACGTTGTAACAAGTTCTATTTTGCAACGAAACCATATACCTCAACATTTTTCTGTCTTTCGTTCTTTTCTTTCGTTCTTTCAATATCCGTTGTCTAGTACCCATAGTACAAGCTTTGCTTAGTGTAAAATGTCTTAAGGATATTTATTTATTTTATAATATTAATAACACTGTACATGGTCAAATTTTCCCTTTTTCCAGGAAAGGCACGCGAACGCGAAATACGCAATCAGCATGGCGCGTCGGATGGGCGCGCGCGTGTATGCCTTACCCGAGGACATCACGGAACGCAAGCCCAAGATGATCATGACGGTGTTCGCCTGCCTCATGGCGCTCGACTACATCCCCGCGCCCGGGCACATCGCGCCCACACAGTAAGTCTGTAGGGCACCACGACCCCCTACGTCACACTTTATTAAAAATATTACGATAGATCTACAAGCTTAATGAAAACAGTGTGCCTACCATGAGTTTACGTTAGGTGAGCTCGCTAGCGAATACGTCAAAAAATTATATGAAGAATTTATTTCTAGAAAGTAGCCGCTAGGGGCGCTGCACAATATGTCATATATTTAAATGTCATTTTTTTACGCAGTCACTAGCGAGTACACCTAACGTAAACTCATGGTAGACACACAGAGGTGGAATTGTGTAAAGCAATCGTAACCATTTGACAGTTCATAACGTACGATAGTCAGTTAAACAATGCGTTTGACAGAATAATCGTACGTTATGAACTGCCAAATGATTACGATTGCTTTACACAATTCCACCTCTGGTTTCACCATCAATGTCTAATTTTTAAGTGACCCCTATGGTAACACAGTCTCGGTAACATTTTGTTTTCCTATGGGTCACTTAGAAATTAGGGATTGATGGTGAAAACGGGCATAAGATTCCCTCCAGACCACAGATTTTTAGTCGGCCGATAGTTTGGACGACTTTTAATTTGTATGAGAAATCAACAGACACCAAATCGATGTAATATGCGTACTTCATATACGTAACAACTCGACTTCACTATCGGCCGACTAATAGTCTAAAGTCTGCGGGGAGACTAAAGGCTACTGGCGGTGGGCTTAGATATACACGTTGTCAGTTTATTGCTGAAAATTGACTATGAAAGTATGAACCATCTATCAAGGGTGGGTTATGTGGAAGGGCAGGTCGTATCCACCAAAACCTGATAATTATGGTATACAAAATTGAATAGTCCAAAATAACTGACACTATTGATGAGTTAAAATAATTTAAAACATCACTACATGGTTCATCGAATTGTTAAAACAGTACCAGTAACATTTACTATTCCATGGCTACATTATACGAATATTATTTAATCAAATTACATTCAATTTATATTCAAGCCCGCCGCTCAGTGTTACGTTTTGTCTCGATACGATAATAAAGTGTGACGTATAATTTGAACTTTACTTTGGGGGCAACGTCTAATCGATAAAAATGCGATTTTAAAAAGTGCACTTGCTGACAAAATCATTAATCTACGAATATATTTCAATTGTTTTTTTTTAATAACAAATCAAACTTATCAATCTATTATTTTGCCAGCAAGTGTTTACAACTAAGGTTCAATTTTAAAACAAACAGCCCACCTACTGGTACAAGAAAGTATATTTAAATTATTCCATTACTAAATTATTAAGTTCTGGATATTGATAGAGACACTGTCAGCAAAAATGTAACAAAACCTTGATTATATTTTACATCATACGTAGTTCTTTTATTGTTCTAGAATTTTGTTTTAAGTTTTTGCTGGCAGTGCATTGGGGCTGGTTTTCAGTCGGTCGGTGTGGGTTTGTGCTGTCAGGTGGGATATGATGTACGTAACACTCGTAATTGTAAGGGTAACTTATTAATGATAGGGTAAGACCTAGGACTCGTAATACACTGGACCCTCTTTAAAATTTCGACAAAAACATCCCATTATTACATTAAAATCCCCAGAAGAAAATATTGAATTATTTTTTTATTGAGTCCAGTGTACACGAATCCTTAAAGAATCTGGTCTGAAGTAATAATACAATTAACAGTCGTATTATTAATAATATCTAACGGCTAAATACAACTTAGTACTTATGAAGGATTAGTATTACGGACGTGTCAATGTTTTTTTATAAATTTATACAACGAATTGAGTTTTTACGCGACGGTATAATAAATATTTAACCAATTTTACACGATCTTTCGATAGAATTTATCAAGGATTTTAGCATTTGTCTACGTATAAGTATCACTAAACTAGTATCTATAATATTTCAATTAAATATGCATAGAGTATTCGTCAAGAAACAAAATATACAGCGCACCTTGTTAGTTAGATGAGAAATGATAAAGGGTTTGTAAAAAAATATGCCAACTGATATTTAACACGTTGGATGCCTCGAGGCTCCCGGTGAGCATCAAGCAATAGATTTACTATGGTGCCTATTTTACAAGCAGTTAAGAAAACACTTTCTAGAAGAGCTTTTGATGTAAATAATTTTCTTTCTTGGCGAGTACTGTAACTTTTTGGGAAATTTTACCGAAAGATACAAACTCGTATTGTTGAGTAATCGGCTTAGTTATGATATAATGTTAATCTAATTACTATTGGGTGTATTTGCATCTTATTTATTGTCTTATTCTGTCCAACCTACACAGCTGTGTATACTTGTATAATACACATGTGTATAGAGGTTTCGTTTTGGCTTCCATTGATTCAAAGTTGACATTCTTGTAAAGGGTGTATTGTTTTTTATGTTTCTACTGCGTCATGCCTGAGATAAATATTTATGTTCATAAATTTTATTTTTCACACTCAACATTTTAACTTATTGAACAAGACTGGTAACTTAATGTATCATTAAAATATAGACTGAACGGTGATGGGGTTACCAACTATGATAAGAATTTTCAAGCAAAACTAATAATTTACAAAATCTTATGACTTCTACAAATATTTCAAGTTTGACGCAGTATATAAGGCATTCTTCGTTTTGCAAGTATTTTAAAATTCAAAAATTCTTGTTCGTGCAAGATTTCATAATCATTTTGCACTTTCTAAACATTTATAATATTTACTTGCATTTTGTAATCGTGTCTTATAAGGTTGACATTGTGTCGTCGATCGCTTGTGTGTGGGAATTGGCAATAATGTGAATGTGGGATTGTTTATGTGATAAGTCTTACGAGAAAGCCATATACAAATAATATAAAATATATGTACACAAAAACCATTTATATCTAAGTATATATATTGCCAATAGTTTCACCAACATTCCCTTGGATTTCGGCATTCCTTTCCATTCTTATTTCCATTTTTTCGAATACCCCTATTACTTAATCGAAATGTATATTACTTTATCATAAGTTTATTGTGAAATATTTTTGTAAAGCATTTTATATTGTGACATTCCTTTCGGGAAGCAACGATTTATTTTTAAATCATATTTTAATTGTAAATTTTATTTTGTTAGACATTTTAAGGTTTTATTAAAATATTTTTTTTATAATTTTAAGGAATATTTTTTCACTCGATCTTGATCGTTTAATCAAAATTTATTTTAAAATAAAGGTAATGTCGGATTGATACGATGAGTATAGACTAATAATACCTACTTGCATACTATTTAGAGCTGTACGCTAGCGTCATTTAATGTTAAATACAAATGTGTAAGGCCTATAAATAAAAAGGAATTGGTAAAACAGTATTTATATTATTTCTCTCCTTTTAAAATATTTCCTCTACATATAAAACATACAGAACCTTGCTGTAACATATGGATATTGGAGTCGCACTGTTTGTCTATATCACAGCACGGGATATTTACTGTTATGTAAGTATTTTTTAATTTACTATGTATATTTTCGTCTGTTTCTGTCCTGAATGTTGGTATAAATACAAGCAACTTGCAGACCAAGTGCTAAGCTTTGAAGTTATGTTAAAACTGCTTTAAACAGTTTTATTTATCTCAAAAATACAAATTTTTTTTGAGATAGCATTATAAATGAAAAAAACTTTCTTAGTCATCGTTTGCGACTGTACACACAAATGCAAAACCTCAATTGTGAAACTATACTAAATTAGCTTTGTTCTTGGTCTGCAAGCAGCTATAGGTAACGGGTGTTGTTCTGTCTTGTCTATGGGCATACTGTTCTTTATCTGTGGGAGACACATTTGGGTACTTTTTCTTGAGTAATAAAATGTATACTTCCTACACGAGATAACTATTCTAATATTCAAATTCATTCTTATACAACTTTCGTCCATGTACTAACTAAAATTGTCAATATCAATATCTTGCTAGAACAAAAACTTTTTTGCAGACCGCCAGAGGAGTCGGACTACCTCGATGATTCTGCGGGGTCCATAGAGATCGTAGATCATGACGACGATTCTGCAGGTGCCATACAAATCGTGGGTGACCTGGATGACTCTGGATATGGCATGGAGAAACCCCCCCTTCCTCCTAAGCCAGAATTGTCCCAAATAACTAGATCCATGTCACATGTTGAATAATATCGCGTAAGGTCAATCCAGTCAGTTTTTAAAGTGTTTTTATAGAATGATCCGTATTTTATTTTTGGATAATATTATGTATTGCATAGTTGTATGTGGTTGTATAGATAGTGCATAGATTTCTCGCCATTATACTTGTGCATTCAGTCGATATGATGTGATGTGATTATAATTATGTCTGGGAATCGATTTTTAATTAGATACATTATTTTCATATTACAGACCGAATTTTAGTGGAGTATTGAGTACATAACCAATTGATAAATCTAGTTTGATCGATTCAAATGTGTGTAATAATTTATTTTTATACAAACTCCGAATTTTTATTAATCAACAACCACGTTTTTATTGTCTTTTAAGTTATTTTAACAGTTTTTATTTATTTTTCTATGTTTTATATAAATAATAAAATTGTGTTGAATAACTGGATGATATTATTTCAATATTGTTTATACCAATGGGCATTCGTATTTTTTCTTACCTACCCGCTTCTATCTAATAATTTACCCCGCCATTATTCGCTGCTTTCTACGCCAGTCTACGAACTGATGTGGCTCACTCCGGACGCCGTCACGCCGCATCGGAGTCACCGCTTCTTCTTTCTGGAACCTTCTTTCGTTAGGCCTGAACTGTTCAGCCAACGTTGAGAACTAAAATATTGTGGAGTGTGTTTTGTGAAGTGCGTTTTATATGCGATTGACGAGTCGAGGCTGGTTTTCATCATCTTCCATCTTCGAGGGCAGAGGAAAGATTGGGAACCGCGGTTCACGCCCCTGAAACTGCTGGTGCTGGTGGATGGCAGAACGGGTGAGTACGCTTTTTGTTCGTAGTGGTAGAAATCAGCAATATTCCCTTCCTTTGTCTCTTTTCTAAATCATAAAATTACCACGACCTATGGTGAATATTAAACCCGCATCCGCTGTGTGAGCAGAACCTACGAATCCTCGGATCGCTCGTAATCGAATCGACAAGAATACAAGGCATAGTGGTGATTATGGGGGAATAAGTCCAGCCACTTTTCATTAGCTTAGGGACTTCCTAGCCATTACTAAGAGGGAGAGAGAAAGAGAAGAATCGATCATTTTTTTAACAATTAGAAGATTTATTTAGCTCAGAAAATAGGATATACCTAATAATTTCTCCTTAAACTCTTAACCCTCGCTGTACGAGGTGGGGTGTGACACACCCCAGTCCTTTAAAAATAGCCACAATTTTAAAAATTTGCAAGTGCTGAATTTGAACTTCTCAGTAGCTGGAATTATGACACTGCTGCTTCGATCAGCGTTGCAAAATCAGTCCAGCGGTGATTACCAACTCAGTTACATGCCTTTAAAGTGCGTGTGGGTGTCACACACCCCACCTGGTACGGGACGTTGTTAAAAAGTTTAAAAAAAAATCTAACAGTTTTGGTGTAATTTATATATTTTTAGCTTTGTCGATTGAATAAAATTGAATACAAATATTATTTTTCGTGATTTTTACGGTATCTGAAATTTTCAAGCACTTTTAGTCAAGTGAGATGACTTTTAGTGCAAATCTGGAAGTTTAGTACTGAGATACGAAGATGTATGTGAACATAAACTTANATAATTTATTTTTATACAAACCCCGATTTTTTATTAATCAACAACCACGTTTTTATAGTCTTTTAAGTTATTTTAACAGTTTTTATTTATTTTTCTATGTTTTATATAAATAATAAAATTGTGTTGAATAACTGGATGCTATTATTTCAATATTGTTTATGCCAATGGCACACCAATGGGCATTTGTATTTTTTCTTACCTACCCGCTTGTCTGATAATTTACCCCGCCATTATTCGCTGCTTTCTACGCCAGTCTACGAACTGACGTGGCTCACTCCGGACGCCGTCGCGCCGCCCGTTTATTCCCGATGTCCCCCACTATTTGTCCACCACTGGTGGACATCGAGAAAAAAAGTTGCAATGTCCACCAGTGGGGGACAGCGCTACTGAAATCTTCCCGTTGGGCCCTACTGGTGGACACTGAGAAGAAATGAGTTGCTCTGTCCCTCAGTGGTGGACATCGAAACCAAAAAAGTTCCGTTGTCCCCCACTATTTGTTTTGTTTTCGTGATTGTTAAAAAATATATTTTTTTCAATTCGTATCAAATATAATTCTCAGTTTTTTAACATCCTACCTTTCCTATTTATGTAAACTTTTTCAATTTGTCGTGAACTAGATCCTGCAATTTCCGACATTATTACATATAATAAGTGCAAAATAGTAACATTACCGACACAATAATTTCTGATAACATGAACATTGTAAGTACTTGGAAAATTAAAAATGACAAAACCGTTCCGATTAACGCACACTTCCTAGGGGCGTCAGTATAAATTAAGGATTGTTTTAAACTATAATAAAAATGTTAGTATAAGATTTACTTAAAATGTTTGTATTCATGAACACAAATATAATAGTGGAGGACAACGGAACTTTTTTGGTTTCGATGTCCACCACTGAGGGACAGAGCAACTCATTTCTTCTCAGTGTCCACCAGTAGGGCCCAACGGGAAGATTTCAGTAGCGCTGTCCCCCACTGGTGGACATTGCAACTTTTTTTCTCGATGTCCACCAGTGGTGGACAAATAGTGGGGGACATCGGGAATAAACGGTCGCGCCGCATCGGAGTCACGGCCTCTTCTTTCTGGAACCTTCTATCGTAGAAGTCCACTCCGCTGTACCCGTTCGCGCTAAGTTTGCCGGTCTGTGGAATGCGCGTCCCCTCCCCCAACCGCGATTAAACGCAATTAGTTAGTGATTAAACGCAATTAATGTGTCTTAATTTACGCAAATACACAATTTTTATCAATATTAATAAATAAAAAATATTTTCAACATAGTTTGCTATAGTTATAGACGCTTCCCTTCGAGTGACGTCATATCGCCAGCGGCAAACTTATCGCGAACGGATAGTACCGTATTAGGCCTGAACTGTTCAGCCAACTTTGAGAACTGAAATATTGTGGAGTGTGTTTTGTGAAGTGCGTTTTATATGCGATTGACGAGTCGAGGCTGGTTTTCATCATCTTCCATCTTCGAGGGCAGAGGAGAGATTGGGAACCGCGGTTCACGCCCCTGAAACTGCTGGTGCTGGTGGATGGCAGAACGGGTGAGTGCGCTTTTTGTTCGTAGTGGTAGAAAGCAGCAATATTCCCTTCCTTTATCTCTTTTCTAAATCATAAAATTACCACGACCTATGGTGAAATATTAACCCGCATCCGCTGTGTGAGCAAAACCTACGAATCTTCGGATCTATCGCTCGTAATCAAATCGAAAAGAATAAAAGGTATAGTGGTGGATTATGGGAATAAGTCCAGGCATTTTTCATTAGCTTAGGGATTTCCTAGCCAATACTAAGAGGGAGAGAGAGAGAGATCATTTTTTTTTCAACAGTTAGAAGATTTATTTAGTTCAGAAAATACCTAATAATTTCTCATTAAACTCTTAAAAGAAAGTGCTAGTTTATATATTTTTTGGAGAGAACAGGGCAGGTATTTGACAGCAATCACACTGGATCTTTATGTGTGATACAGTTTACCTACACCATCATCCTTCAAATTACGAGTTTTGTGGAAGTTATTTACTGTGAAATAAAAGAATTTTGAATTTGAATAAAATTGTGATGATTTATTTCAATTCATAGCCGGCAACAGAAAATAAACACTTTGCAATTTCGATGGGTCAGCTTGAACACAGATAAAATATACAGGGTTTATACGAAAGTGGATATACAGAAATCGTACACAGATGCTATGGTAGACCTTGTTCACTGGAGTAAGTTATCCTACTCATTAAAATTATAAATAACACATTTTTTGCTAAAATAGTAATAAACAACACATAAACATAGCTCAAGATATGTATGCATGTACAAAAAGAACGAGCTAGATCTGACAATGATATCAAAGCGATAGTTTTCAAAATATAAAACTAAACATTATCAATAATTTACTCCAGTAAAATCAGAATACTTACAAAAATATATTCTGCATGCGACTTTTCATGGATGTATTCAACGTTAAAATTAACATTTCAATATAATTATACAGCGCTGTGTAAAAAAATATTTACATAATATACACACAACATGAATCGGAGACGTAAAAAGCATCTATTTGTACATCAACAATGCCATAACTGGATCTACGCTAACTCCGCTGCTAATGTTCTAATTCAGTAAGAAATTTTGGAATGTTCACATTATAAATATCAATATCATGTATAGTTTTGTTAATAGAAAAAAGATTTCACTAAGTAGTTCACCAATAACGAGAAAAGGTGGTTTATGGACCATACGAATATCACTAAAATAAATATTGAGCATTATACAATTACACCTAATAATGAAGTTGTGATTTCGCTGGCTAATTGCCTACTTTTTATTGCGATTTTAGCCTCGATTGAAAATAATTTACAGAATTTGTAACTGAAATATTTTTAACATGTCATATGATTTAACTTCAACCTCAAGAGTAAATAGAGTTTCAAAATGTATTATTTTACGTCGGTACAGTCAGAAACAAAAGATGGTTACACTTACAGATTAACACTACAAATATTAAGACGTACAGAGTTATAAACACGCTTTTGTGTCTGCCGATACCGTGTATTAAAGCATATTTTATTGTATACTTTATAAAAATCTTAACTTATTCTTAGTTAAAATATAATAATCGATAGCTAACTACTCGTAAGTAAAAAATAATGGTCATGTGATCCACAAACCGCCTCTCTATCTAGCTTGGTTCATTAGCTAATAATAAAGTTTAGAATTTGTATACGACTCGTTTTAAAATTACAAATTGACAACATCGGTGATGCTGAACTCAACACGAGTCAAATTTAAAATTGAATAAATAAGTTTTTAATAATAACGATCCCGTTCCGAACCGACAACATCACCAGTTCAATAAAGCTATAGAATAATAAAAATACTCGATTATTAGAAGGTCTGTCTGTCACTTGACAGTTGCCTTGACCAACACTAAAAATATTTGACTGTTCGCTGGCATGCTTGCGAGTTGTGACATTGAGGGAAAAATTTTCAACTATCAGACAAATTCATTCGACATTGGGATACATTTTTCATCCACAATCTGGCATCTTACTAATTGGATTTATCTGGCAGTTGAAACTTCTGCCCTAGTAATTTTCCACCAACATGAACTGTAGGTAAAAAATCACTTCAATACAAAAAAAAAAAAAAATCGAATGAAAAATAGTCGAACGGCAACAACTCCCCAAAAGAAAATTCAATAGAAAGAAAATGACAACAAAACAAAAATATAAACCAACCACCGGCATCGCAAGCAGTACGCACGAACAC